GACGCAAGGTATGAGTCACGCAAGGTGAAGAGCGAATATATAAAGGAGTCGCTAGGACTCCATGTATGAGCTCTTCACACATTCTTCTTGTTTATTTCCTACCTTTAAGTTATTACAGTAAAAATCTACCTTTCCGCTCTTTAAGGTTTATCTTAAGAGACCCGAGAAGTGTCTTTCCTCCCATAGGAAGACTATCTGTCATCTCCCGATAAGCGAGTAAGTCCTAAGCGAGGACTTAAGAAGATTAGAGGAATAGGTGCGAATAGATGGAGGTCATAGGACTCGACTATCTATACTCGCGTAGGCATAGCCCTAAGAATAATTACCTCCTCTCAAGATAAGAATCGTTACCTGTCACACCCCTACCGCGGTTAGGATTCTTAACAGATAGATGGATGTATGAAAAAAGAGTTTTAGGGATATGCGGTAATCGCTGCAGCACATATTCACAACCATATTCCGTCCAAAGCCCATGACGATGAGGCACCACTCGAGTCCTGGACAGGATCCTCTCTTAGTATCGGACACCGCAGGGTATTTGGATCTATTGCATATGCTCATATCCCTGCAGAGAAAAGAAAGAAACTTGATTCAAAGTCAGAGAAATGCAAACTCATCGGATATGACGATAATGCAGGAAGCAAGGTATCCCGACTTGTTGCCACAGACTCAGGCAGGATTTTTAGCTCCAAAGATGTGATTGTCGCTAAGTCTGACCTCATACAATACGACCACCAAGAGCCGCCAGATCCTAACGAAATCAAGGAGAGCGAGAGAAGACAATTGCAGTCGCGAGATGTGGAAAGTGATTTCCAATGGGCTGAGACGATAGATCCAGGAAATGAGAATACGCAGGAGTGCAAGACCAGTCAAAAGGTACTGCAGACTGTCGTTGTCCAACTGCGGAGCCTAGCAGCAGAGCCGCAGATTCAAGCGGATAAGGAAAATCCGCTAAGACGCTCTACAAGACAACATAAGCCGATGCAACTTTTCACTCCCGAGCCTTGGACCGCGATGGTTGCCCAAGTAGAAGAACCACAAACCTTGAATGAAGCATTCAATAGCGCAGCACTGGAGGTTTGGTATGAAGCCTGGGAGTCAGAAGTTGAGTCACTTATACAAAACGGTACATGGATATTGGAGGCGCTCCCAGGAGGAAGAAAACCAATTGGATGCCTCTGATTGTTTAAAAGAAATGACGATGGAAGATTTATGGCACGACTGGTTGCCAAAGGCTGCAGCCAAAAGGAGGGAATCGACTTCCATGAAACCTTTACTCCGGTAGCAAAGTTCAAGTCACTACGAGCATTATTGGCACTCGTTTGTGAAGGCAACTGGGAGCTGTACGGGATGGACGTTAAAACTGCTTTCCTACATAGTGAAGTAGACAAGACTATTTATCTGGATCTTGCGGAAGGCCTATACCCAGAAATCAATCGCGATACTGGCACCATCGTGTTGTGTGCCGTTTAGTTAAGTCAATCTATGGCTTGAAGCAAGCTCCTCGGGCATAGTACGGTCGAATCAACAAGTTTTTTCTCCAGCATGGATTCGAGCATAGTGATCACGATCACAGTATTTATGTTCACTACCCCTTGAGCCTAATCATTTTACTCTATGTTGATGACCTTGTTATTGCCTCTCCTGCAATGCCAGAGATTGAATGGATTCAGGATTTACTCCAAAAAGAGTTCGAAATGACAGATCTGGGTCATCTGGTTAATTTTTTAGGAATAGAAATCATGCGAGACCGGAAGCAAAAAACCCTTTACCTCTCACAGCAAAGATATATGCATACCATTCTCACTAGATTTAGCATGCTAGATGCAGCTAGCATTACCACGCCGGCGGATCCGCACGTTCGACTGGTGAAGAATCCGGCCTTCCATGCGACTGATACCATCAACCGCTTACGCTATCAATCTGCTGTTGGCTCACTCATGTACCTGATGATTGGCACCGGGCCAGACCTTGCTTTTGCAGTTTCTGCTGTTAGTTAGTTCAGTATAAATCCAGGTCCACAACATTGGACTGCATTGTGACGAATATTTCGATATGTCCTAGCAATTAAGACAGTTGGTGCGCTTTACGGAAAAGGAAACTGTACCACCGGTGGTTTTACTGATGCGGATTGGGGATTAGGGGAGGATCGGAAGTCTGTCGGTGGCTATATCTTTTTGATCAATGGAGCTGCAGTTTCTTGGATGAGGCGAAAGCAAACGAGCATTGCTTTATCATCTACAGAGGCAGAGTATATGGCTCTCACCCAAGGAGTGAAGGAGTCACTCTGGTTAGGGGAGTTAGTTCGGGATCTGGGAGCAAGAGGGCATGCCAAGGAAATTCGATAAATTCAGTCTGACAATCAAGGAGCAATTGCGCTTACAAAGAACCCTGAGCATCATGCCCGATCTAAGCATATCGACATTCAGTTTCACTTCATTCGGAACCATGTGGAAGATGGTAATATTGGTTTATCCTATTGTCCTACATCAGAAACGACAGCCGATATATTTACGAAACCACTACCATGACCCCAATTTCAGAAACACGTCTCCGGCTTAGGCCTTGCAGCCGCCCCCATGTCAGAATTATGATGTACTGTTACCAATTGTTAAAAAGAAGAGACGGCAGAAGACAGAAGAAAGAGTAGTTGGAAAGGTTAAGGGGGTGTGTGAGTATCGGTGAACGGGAGTGTTAAAAATCACCGGTACTCACATGGACGGCTGGAAGTCCTCGGGTCAAAATGTCTCTTTGTTATATCCTTAGCTTATTTGCAGTTTTGTTTCTTTTGTGTTTCATAATGTTAGACGCTAGGGATTGTGGAAAGATCATCCACCGGCATTGCTTCTCAGCCCTCGGTCTGTTCTCGGCCTTTAGAATCTACAGGCAGATGAAGGAACCTCGGAACTCCGCAATGGAGTCTCTTCCGATGTGTACCCTGAGTTGGGAAGGGAAGGTATTGGATACCGGGAGTGTGATAAAGTTGTGTTGTCTTTGGTATTGATAGAGCGATTTTGTATTTTCTATTTAAGCTACCATAGTGCCGGAGGATTCAGGAAATAAGCAGGGCTTCAACTACGATACAGAATATACATTCGTTTTTTCCTCTTTAGCATCATTCCTCCACTCCGATCAGGACTTCACAATAATATTTCGGAATACCCTCCAAGGACCATCCCTTACCTTGTTGCCGAATTTCACGGGAGCGTAGCACTGGTAAGTCTTGGCCGAAAAGGGCAGGTATTTTTCCTCTGGGTGGCATGTTGTCCTGCAGGGTACTCACACAATCTGATTTCAGTCATGGCCATGCTAATCGGTACTTTAAGGGGGTGTTGGGATGAGAATGCACAAACTAACACTCAGCATGGTCATGATTGAAGTATCATCCTCTGTGAACCTTGAATCCCGTTTGCCCCAGTTGGCTAATACCTAGTAGTCTGGACAGGGATGAGCACCTGCCTAGTTGTCTGCACTGCTCGAGTACTTGCACAGCCGAGCTGTTGGTAACCATCTCCTGTAAGCGCAAAATAGTGCCTGCGGTGATTACGAGGTAAGAGATAGAGAGTATCCCTAGGGGTGTCAGGAACGGTAAAATTGCTGACCAGGCACGCTAAGTAGAGATCGGCCTGCTGCTGGCTATTTCAGGCAATGAATTAGGTATTTCCAATGTTCAAGTGACACAGCACCTTAGCATCCATGACTTGTCAACGAATGACAATTCTCGGATGCACCCGAAAGGGGATTATCGCACCTGGTTGCGAATTTTACTGTTTCTGACACCCCGAGGGATAGCCTTAAGGCTGCTCTTGTAGCGTGAGGGATTGCACTCTGCGATTGCCGTGACAGTGGCCACTCCAACTCATTATCTAGCACTATATCTTCTGTCGCCGGTAATCGAGTCTGTGAAATGGGTCAAACGCCAAACCTGTTATGGCTCCGAGGAGACAATCCTAAAAGAGGTGCCAATTCTTGCCGCGGAGGCCGGAGTAACGACTATGATCTTTTCAAAGAATCAGGTATAAGAAGCGCGCCATTTGGTGGAGGTTTTATGAGCCTGATACGACCGCCAAGCTCGGATAACACTATGGGTAACTCCCACCTAGGTCTTACTGCGCAAACCTTGTAGTAACGGGGTGAGGCTATTATTAAGGATAAGATGACTAGGTTTTAGAACGCAAAGCCCCTTTCTTTGAGTAGTAACTGGGAAGAAATTGAAAGAATTTGATATATAGGACCTTCTTGAAGAATGTGGTTTAAGAAGCGCGGCATTTGGTGGAGGTTTCATGAGCCTGATGCGACCAACAACATCGCCTAACACTGATAACTCCCACCAGGTCTTACTGTGCAGACCATCTAGTGATGCGGTGAGGCTATTTCTAATGATGCGAGGACCAGGTTCCAGAAGGCAAAGCCCCTTTCTAGGAGTAGTAACTGGGAGGAAATTGAAAGGATTTGATATACAACGAGTGGTATATGAGTACAAGTCACAAGAGAAAGAAAACGCAACTGAGATCCCCCCCGGACCCACCGCCGAACCCTGCCCCAAAGCCGCACCAAAGCTTCAGCAAAGCCGCCCCCAACCTGCCCCCCCAAACACCCACAAAGCCCCCGGCAAAGCCGGCCCCAAACCCTCCCCACCCGCCACAGAACGCAAACCCGATAACCCCCGCACACTTATCCATTAGTTGATCAAGGTCAGCCTGAAATCTTATTTTAAGCAAATGTTATAAAGTGTTGACTTACAGGCTCAGTGTGGAAAGGCAGCCTTATGCCACTGCATCCCAGATGTCTGTAGCCCATTCTTCGGGATCTGCCGGGGAAACGATGATATCACCCTCCAAGGTATTTTGGATGGGCTGCCGGAGGAAAACTTTCCCGAATTCGAGTTTCAAAGAGCTAGTGGCGGAAACAGGCCACAAGATATCGGTTTCCGCCATTTGCGCAGGTATCTCCAGAAAATTGTTTGCATTGGCTCGCGTAGCCGGTGCCCTTGGTACCTGCACCATTTCCCATTTTTCAATGTGGATTTTTTTGATCACTGGCTTGATTGAGAAGATGAGAACGATCTTGACATCTCCGGATGAGTTGTTTAGCCACCAACAAGCATCCGTCTTCAACTGGGTAAGTCCCTCAGATACCCCACAATCAATCACCACAGTCGGCCAATGGCCCGGGCCGGGGCGGGACGACTTCGGTATGAAAGCTGAATCTGGTTCTTTACTAACTGCACTGCCTTGATACCTTGTGCTGCCCATATCTTGAAGTTCACGAGTGAGCCCCATCGGAATGGTCTTCTCCCAGAGGATCCGTCCAAAGGTCCTAGTAGCTTGTTCGTGAACTCGTCCAGGCATGCCGACTTTGAAAATTAATGCCTGTTGGTGTTGGAGTTAAGTGAAGCGGAGTGGTTTGTAGTGGTCATCCCGAATTTCATCAATTTTCGTAAGCCGATCCTCGCTTACGGGGGAAAACACCACGTACTATCCACCCCTACCGGCCTCCAATGCTCTCGCCTGTGCCCGAATGGCTTGGCCCACTGTGCGGTTATCAAAGTATTGCTTATGCACCGCTGGACCTAACCCTTCACCGAGCGAATAATGTGTCCCCTGTGGTACAATACGCGATTGAAATTGGGAGCCAGCTTGGGAGAGGGCGGCAGTTGGGTAGGCACCAACATGCTGGTCAGAAATAGCCGACATTCTTTCGTACAGATTGGTGGTAGGATTTAGGGAGGGTTACTCCGGTTCGATGCTGCTGGTGGTAGAGCCAGCGGTGGGTGCTGGGCTTTTCAGGTAGGACCAAGGAGTTGTGGTTGATGTTGTTTGAGTGGCTGCTTGTCCACTTGTGTCAATTAGAGGAGTTTAGCTGGCCCTCTTGTTACTATTCTGAGCTAAATCTGAGAGTGGGTTGTGAAGAAAATACGCTTGTATGGTATTGGTAAGAGAAAAGGAAGGAAAACTACGGAGAAAAAACCGGATACCAAGCTCCCTCTTACACATGAAGGTTATCCAGAGCCTCCACCCATTCAGTATCTCCTAGATAACTTAAATTTTAGAAATTATGACACACCTCGCATCGTCTAACACAGGACATCCTTTAGGTTCCTACTATAGTTTTCATTTGTTCTCGGCTTACCTCTTGTAATAGACATTTTGGAGAATGCACTCTTGCACATTGGTAGTAACCAACCATCGTATTGCTTACTAATCATAATAGGCGTGGCGGGAGGAGTTGGAAGATTCACGTAGACCCGGGGTCAGCCCTGTGCTTGAAAACAGAAGAAGGGATACGAAAAGAACCTCCAATGAAACCATCTTCCCACACCAGCTCTTGCTAGCCAAGAAATGTCGTGCCTTACTGAGGGTGCTGCCTAGCTGAGCGTGCACATGGTCTAGTTGGTTATCACACCAGTCTAACACACTGGCGGTCCCTGGTTTGGGCCCGGGTGGAATCAATTTCAATTTTATTCTTACTTTTTTTTCCTCTCTCGCCCTCGTCATCACACGGCTGGTGATGAGGAAGTTAAAACAAGCAGGATTGGGGGTGTACAAGGTGTGGGAAAGTGGAAAGGTGCCGGTAATTTAAGCATATAATAGAGGAGTAGTGCGATGCAGAATTCATCTATGTAGCTTCTAACTCGGGTTTCACGAACACAAAACAGAGCCTTGTAGGATGCAACAGTTCGATACAAGTGATCACTCGTGATGGCCGATGCTATATTTTACTATCTAACAGTCTCTTACCGGTATCACAGCACCCCATGATCAGAAAACGTCGAATGTGAAAAATCCAAAGTATATCATCCCTACTTATTGCTTAACAAAAGCAACTGACCAGGTAACATACCACAACAGCTAAGGAATCAAGCAAAGTTAAAACCGTAGATCTAAACATCACCACCCCCACCCCGTTGTCAGACATTTGGTTATAATTGTTCACCCCCGGGCTATCCACTTTCTCTACCAGATGCTGTGACTGCGGGGCGGTAGTTTCGAGCTCAGTCCTATCCTCGGAAGAACCGGGTGGTTGGTCATCTGCCGTACCCCCAAGTTTATCTGGGGTCATGAGCCTGACCTCCCCATTCTCACTGGGAAGGTTGGCCGCGAAGGTTGGCCTCGACCACTCTGGCGATCAGTGTCTCTTAGCTGGAGACGTCTTTCATCACCTTGTGCTTCCAGCAGTCAACGACGCATAGGCTATGCTCAACTTCTTCTGGTAGGCCGCCGACCTTCACGTCTATGCTTTCTGCCTGTCTGGCATTTCACTGCTCTCCGCCTCCGCTTCCGCCTTCTCACCAATCCTGTCTCCATCTGACCCCCAAACTTCTCTCAGTTCCTCTGCTCACCCCGGGCCCGCCGCAAGCTTCCCCATCCCCTGATCGCACCCGCCTGGAAAATACACCTCGCCCGCCCCGCCACCAATCCCTCCACCCTCGGATTGTTGAGTAAAACCCTGGCCACCCCCTCCCTCGCCCGTCCTGGAGGCACCTCAAATGGGTAAATTCTTGAAGAACCGCCCATCACAATCACCAAGTCTGCATCTTCGACCATTTTAAGTCCATATGAAACTCCCTCGGCAAGCGGTCCCGAAAGAATACAATATTCGGCTTCACGAACCTGGCGCAAGCCTCGCATAGAATACTTGCAGCAAGAAGGTGCTTCGTTATCCTATTGGACGGGTACGTGGCTTGACAACCAACGCACAAGTGCCCTACGAACGAGCCGTGGGCGTGGACGAGCTCCCGCGGCAGAACCTCTGCGGCTCTTTCCAGCATGTGTATGTTCTATCATGGTGTAGGGAAAGCACTTTTGAAGCTCCTTCCTCGCCATTAGCGATATGAAGGCATATGTGACTGTCGGGGTGAATTGGCCCGGGTGTAGGGATTTCTCGCCGGTATCGTAAGGTTGGGGATTGTTCCTGAAGATGTTTATGTCGAAGAGGGCCTCCCGGTCTGGGGGGTTAAGAGCTCGGAGGTCGAAGTAGACGCCTGCACCCAGTTCGTGAAATTCTGGGATGGCGAAGTAGGTGGAGATTCAGGGCACCGCTCGAGCAGACATCATGCCACGTATCTGTAGAAGCAGCGGTGGGTCTTTATCCAAAGCAGAGACCAGAAAGGCTGGGAATAAATCCCGCCATTGTAGGAAGGCCTCGCTGGAGAGTGCTTCCCACAGGGTGTTAGTATCGACCGGGATAGGTATTAGGCACTCGTTTGCGTTGCTTTGAAAGTTGTGTGCGTCCTTAGGTTAGGTACCGATAGAGACAGTGATGTTGAAAGAGGCTTCGAGGACTGTGGGGACAGGGCAGGAGTACAATAGTCGTGGCAATGAGAGTGTCACGTTTGGCTGACTGATGATGTCTGGTGACTCATTATTTTCCATTCAGATGACTTCAAAAATGACCTAGTACTGTGGTGCATTCAACCATCGCCCCGGGTTAACCCACTACGTCAAGCAAAGGTATAGAAATTGCGAAGCCTATTATCACCTAAAGTGCGGATAATCAACAGCCCACACGGCAGAAGCGTGTTCAAAAAGCACTCGTCCGCTAGAGATACCTTTGCCATCCTCAGTGGCCATGATCATCCCTTCGACCTGGTTGGAAAACACGCACTAATATGGATCTGGGTTCCACTGCATGCCTCATGGTTACCTGCTTCTCCCAGCTAACCTTTTTCCCTGGACAGATAATGGATATCCTTGCAAGAACCTCACAGGCAGGATCAATGTACCAGGAACAAGCCTAAGGTTGTAAATGGCTAGGGCTTAGTGAATCTAGCTTACCAGAGTTGACCATGCGCCCCAAAGGTAGGAGCATTGCTCCATTCCATGGTTCAAGAGGTGCGATGATCAGTACTACGTTTGCCTTTGTAGCAAGGACACCTACCGCCTCGTGGCCGATACAGAGGGTCCAGATTCCACATTCCAATAAATCCAACCCTGCTTTGACGGAATTGGAATTTCATCCCAATCTAACAGAACGCAGGGTTAAGCGCTATCTGCCTACGGAGGAAAAGATTAAACCCGTGTACTCGTAGTATGACCGGCGATTAGGTATACCGAACCTGGAGAATGCTACATCACAGCCATGATTACAGAAACAAGCAGAATTATCCCATTAGAAAATGTCACTCGACAGGGTATCTTCTCCAACTTCTCTGAAATACAAGCAATGTTAACCCCCCTCACCCATAACCTCCGGCACGCAAGGAAGAACCCAATTCCACTAGTCTTCCTTCTTTTGCCTTCCTTTCGTTAGCCACTCCACCTGCACGTCCACCCTCGCCCCTCTCTACCATGTCACTTCGTTCATGCGTTCCACTCCTCCAAAAAGTCTGCTCTCGGTCCATTCTATCTGATCCGCCAATTCAGACACCCGCACACACACACCCTCAGTCCATGAAACACCGCTTTGAAGAACCCCATCGTTCGACAGTACAATTTTCTAATTCCAGAAAACAAAACAAAACAAACCAACAAACATATCCATCCTGTCTGCCCAAGTCATTGGTTGCCGGGGCCATGACGGGCTCTGTCTGTAGCGCCCACTCTACTGCAGAATCTACGAATGGAGGTCCTTCATCTCCGAATCCCATATCGACTCTCGCGGCATGAGAACCAGTATCCGATGCACCATTCAATGCTGCTGCTTCTGCGGGAAGCGGAGAGTGCACCCCGATCACCCCAACTGCCCTGCCATTACCCACGTGATGGAGGATCAACTGCCCAAAGACAGGGACCATGACCGGGCAATGTGGGGGGCCTGCGGGTGGGCCTGATTGAAGAGCTCCTGTGACTGAAATGAGGATACCAGTCGCATTTTCCTGCAGCCCATTCCCATTGGTGTAGTGGGTGGTTTCCCAGGTGCCCTCGATGGAATGATTAATCATGCGGCACGAGATTCGCAGGACCTACTGGGTTGTCGCCACACCACGTAAGACGTCCCCCAATACCAATCATCGGTATCCCTACGCGCGCCTGACTGAAAACCCGTTCCCTACTAGTCCGTACCTACGTCTTTGCCATTCAGGCCGTGAGTTCCCTCCCATCCGCACATACTGTCCCCACCACCACCGCTGCTGCCGATCAAGGCACTGGGTGGTCAGAAATCCTGGCGCGGGATTGCTGTAGCAATGTGGATATGTGATTCAGGATGGCTGCTGGGAGTGCAGGAGCTATGTCAGGCCCTGGCAGTTGAAATTGGGTCTACTGCGTGCCATGCCGACAAAGTTTTCTCTGTCGGGATAGTGTTGAGCTGCTGTCAAGGACTTGTGGTAGCGGATGAGGAAGGGTCGGTTATTTGACCGATACACTACACTCTCCAAGAATATGTAACCATCCATCCAGAGCTTTTCATGAGCCCCCACGCGACAATGGCGGAGACC